TAGTAAGGCAATATATTATTGTGATAAAAAATATGAATTTAGTGTATGTAAATGATAAAGCTAGAATTGATATAAAATTGCTAGAGAAATAAACGAATAGAAGTAACATCTTTTTAATATATACTATAAAGACATTAAAATTTGTCACAATGTCTGTTCATATACCTTCGTCTTCCATTAGTTCTAATAATAGCAAGCTGTCGCCAATCGTACCTATCGACAACGTGAATGACACTATGTGCAAGTTGTACAAATCATCGGCGATCTCTGTGACTATTTTTACCAACATTCTGCACACCCACATTTCAGCTCTGTTCTGCTTTTAATCTAAAAAAGTTTCTATAATTTTCATTTTTCATTTTGAGTTGTTATTTCATGAATACACTTAATTTAATAGTATATCCAAATTTTGTCTGTTGAGCCGAGATATCAGATGTTTCAATGGACCCACTGTTAATATGAGATCTATTTTACACTCTTGTCCGTAGTTCTGACTGTATATTTTAAAGATTAATGAGTAGGCAATTTGCCACATTTCAAAATATTATAAATGTACTCAAAAGTGAAGCATGAATTAATACGGATTTTATATAAATATTGCGATATAAATATACTGATATCAAAATGACACAGAACAGACAGAAGTTATTCTTTTTCTGGTTTGACAAATACTGAGGGGTAACTTGCCAGTGTTGATAGTATCTATTGTTTTTTATTGACTAATAATAGAATTTGGTAGATAATTATTTGTATACAGTACGTACCTAATATTCAGTACGTACTTAACAAATTTCTTAAATTATCTAAATTCTCATTTTACAACAATTGTAAATAAAATAATCAAAATCAGAAAGCATCTATTACTAATTACTATTACTATTTTAATTAGGCAGTATTGCTGAGCACAACTTTATTGTTTGTGTTATACATATACATATTTCATTTTATATATTGCATACGGACAATGAGAAGCTATAACGACTTATCGGGTATCCATGAAGCGACGACCTATGGACGAAATATACATTCAGTATTTAACAATGACTGGCTAATATTATAATAATGAATTATAAACATCAATAACATAATTAAAATTGATCTTCCTGACTGTAATGAGTGGATTTATAATTGATACTTCTTTACTTCGTATTTGTGGTTCTTCCATGTTTAGCGTCTATATTGTGTTACCGCTATTATTTGTGTTTATGTTTCTTCCAGCGGAAAAGAAGGAGGTAGTCCAGATTGTTGTTTAGCAATGAATATATAGGTATGTACAAGAAAGACTCGGTTCGAATGGGTTATTTTAGTCGTAACTAGGCAACGGTGTTGCCGCGCGATTATAATTAATTCGCCACACATGTAATGTTTAGCTTTAGTTAAGTAGTAGTTTGTGGGTAGAAAGTACATTTATTGCACTGGCAACATCACATATCTTTAGAGATTGATCAGTAGTGAAACGAAAGATTTCGCTAACTACCCGCTAACCACTTCTAATGCGCTCTAGTTATTCTTTAGAAGACATTACTGACATAATTATTGATATGGAAAGGAAAAGATCACAACATATCTTAAGAATTAAACAGTTTACCTGAAACAGCTAGCATTACTTCATATCTACTGTGAAATCTAAATAGATAGTTTTTATATAGAGATTACATTTAAACTTAATAATAACATTATCATTATTTGGTACTTGTGCATGGCTACCATCTGCTAAGAGTTTTTATCACTAAAATCGGATATCTGCCATGTTGGCGGCATTAAGCTTCCTCGTACGATACATCACCACCCAAATAATTAGAGCATCGTTTGCGGCGGGGGGTGCGCGGGCGCGAGCGACGCGACGCTCATCTCTCTCTCCTTGACGCCTTTTTGTGAAGTTTTTTTTTGTTTCCCGCCCGGGAATAATGTCATTATGGCGCCTTTAATGTTGTCAGTAAGCGGAGCGCGCCGCCGCCCAAGGCGAACGTTTGTTGATACTTAAATTAGGTTGTTTTGACACGCCTCGTTCTTATTTTTGTACTAAATCTAATAAACGTCGGTAGCGGGGAAGCAGCTCGTTCATTATTGCTCCTCGCGTTCTCCGCTACAAAGGTATAGAACATTAAACGTCATTTTTGTAACTAGGTACCTACCTTGTGTTAAACAGAACGTTTTATGACTTCTTCATTTACTTTTGTTGTCAAATAATTTTTGCTTGTATTTCACAACATGAACAATTACAATTACTGTATCAATACTTATTCCAATAAATAGTATCTACGACTTAATAGAAACAAATTGTGTTATTTTGTAATAGGCTACTTATTGATTTCAGTTCATCATGAAATCTAATAGTACTAAAAGTACTTATTAGGTACATCATAGGTAGTAGTAAATTGTTTGTGCTGTCAAGTGTTTTAGAATATATATAATTTATGTACGTGATGCTTACTTATTATTTATACTAATTATATATAAGAATCTATGGTTAAGGTAAAGTTAAAAAAATAAAATGAAATTACACTTTACAATTACATTTTAACACAAAACTTCACTTTATCTGGCTCCTTTAAGTTAGTATACAATTTGTAATAAATACATACCGTATAATTATGATAATGAAAACAATTGTCTTTTGTACAGAAGAAAAACACATGATATAATATAATAATACATTAATATTGTCAGCTACTAGTGGCATTGTAAACGCACTCATTACGTCAAGCGCAGGCGCGACGAGCAAGAGCGCAGCCATTGTAGTCAATGGCGTTCGCTGGGTGGGTGTGCAAGCGTAAGTAGCTGCCACGAAACACGTCAGTGACCCTTGACACCACGCAAGGCGTTTACGCATCCCCTAGGATACACTCCTAAGTATCAATAGCTGCTTTTTTGTCGTTTCCCACTTACGCCGTTATGTTATCCTACACTTGATTGTCTCCGTTGGTTACGCTAAACTCTTATTCATAGTGAGCATACAATGTGTTCATTCATTTTCTATCGCTCTTTTGAACTTTTTGTCTTCAATATTAACATATTTGAAAAAAAAACATGGTAAAATGAGTTTAAGAATTCCGGGTGTGTCTATTTTCGGAATCTGTAGAAACACATTTCGTGAAATTATTCACCACAAGCCGAAGACTTGTCACAGCCCGGTCAATATATCGCATTGTTTATTATATTCCTTTGATCCGACACAATGCGACTCGGGATGTTTTTCAAGACGTTTCATAGATTAACGCACCTTTGACTGAGCACATCAAACAAATTCATAAATATCTTCAACAAAAATTAAGAAGTTAATTGTCACGAGAGTGGAGTATCTGGAAATAGTTCAGTGAGATGTTCTATTCGTATTAAATTATGCATGACATTTTTCTTATTAGCACGAGATGCTTCTGTCATATTCATCAGTCAGTACTTTGCAATTCGGAAACTATAAAACACTTATTACAAATCGAAATTCTTTATTAAATTATCACATTTTCCTGTTATTTGACGGAGGTATACTTAGGCTTAAATCTTGTTACCAAACATTGTAAGGAGCGATGCTGAAATATTTATTAATCGTTCATGCAAATAATACTTTTACATACAGATTGAAGTTGAAGAACACGGATAGATCTTAAACTAAATAAACACATTAGCCTTTATACGGACAATGACATGGAATATAACTAGAACCTAGTATGAAATTGATTTATTTTAAAAAAAGTTCGTTCTTCGTTTCTTACAATGAGACCTGTTTGTTGAGTTGAATGTATTTATCTTGTGAGCAAAGCGGCAAGTAACAACTAGTAAAGTATAGGGCTATAATTAATACACATACTTACATACCTAGTCATGTAACGTGCAATTAACAGGTCACGGCGTAGGTGTAGCATGCGAAACTGAGAAGACGAATTTTCTCTCTGTCGGCAGGTAATTACCACCGGCGACTAAACACGCTGAGAGATTGACATGAAATCATGAAACACGTAACAACCGTCTCGATGACTTCTTTATGAATATATAAAAGAAAATTGAAATAAGAAAAATAACAAATTTATTTCACACCACCGAGTCGTAAAGCTCTTAAAAATGCAAAAATTAGTATCAATATTAGTTTAATCCGCTCGGATATTAGGCATGCAGTCGCTATTAAATGGTGACAGGTTTCCGAGGAAGGTTTTATCGTAAATATTATTTACAAATTGTGTGGAGCCACAGCGGGAGCGCCACTCAGCGAGGGGGCGATTTTTCATCGACGCTGCCTCTTCTCTACCAAACACATTTTTAACACCTCGGACCGCACTTAAATCATATATTTGTTTTATGAGTGTATCGACTTAATTCATTATGTTTTAGTAACATCTTCAATATTTCTCAGAGAATCACATATTATAATATAAGGTAGCTTAGGACCACATAGTACAAAAATATAATGAGAAATGTAATTTTAATTGCAAGTATATGTAATTAAAATTGTATTCTATTGGTTTGTAATCCAATATATAGACAATTATGGCATTATACTACATATCTAAAATTATAAACTGATGTGGTATGTCATCAATAAGTTAACCTTATTAGTAGTGCGTCCAGCGCGGCGGGTGGTGCTCGCTCTCGGACCTCGGTCCTCGGTCAATGTGTTTGTACGTGAATATCTACAGAACTTGCTTTATCCATTGCCATATACCTCTACCTACATTGAAATATTAAATAATTTCTTCAGGCAATGCAAGGTTACACTTTGTTTAATACTTCTGCTATTATATAGACTTAAACAATAACCTAATAGTTGCTTTTGTTGTCGGTAGTCAGTTATGAATTAGTATAAGTAATTAAATACTCGTTAGTCAAAATTTTATCACTGGTAAAAGAATACCTGCTACGCAAGGACATCGCATCGTAGCGTTTACTAAATTTATAGTGCTATAAGAAATTACCGACATGAAAATTTACCTCTACAAACATTATTTTAATATGAGTGTAAATTGTTATTTGATATCCTGTCCTAAACCAGTCATATTTTGTTCCAGATCACAAAATTGAAAATCGACAGTAATCCGTTCGCGAAAGGTTTCCGTGACTCTTCTCGTCTCACCGAGTTTGAAAGGTAACTATCATAATGACATGTTTTTGTAACCGGTTTTATGATGAGATAGGTAGTACTCTAAATTACTTGTCCACGCATTATTGTTAAGAAATATACAACGAATGAAAAATATCGTTAATTTAAAATGTAAATATTCTCATGGATACATAATTTACCTTAATTGTAAAAAAATGTACTTACAATCGGAATATAATAGCAGGAACAATCAAGGTCCTTCTTACTTGCATTCTACTTACGCTGATTGGTATCGACTCAATTGTAACTTTATTTATTACTACTTGTAACTGCTTTTATAAAGAAGCATGTCAATATCACATTTCTAGCCGTTTAATTTCTAATTCAACAATTCCTCATTCGCATTATACATTCGCTTTGTAAAAGTTGTGTATCCATTATTGGCTTTATGTCACTCTATGTCATCATTTTATTGCTACTCATATCAATACATATGTTTTATTTTGAATTTATTTGTTTCTTTCTTGAGATTCTACGTCACGGGGCAGCATGATGGAACATCCTCCTACCCCGATGACGTGCGCTTCAGCGCTGCTAATCATAGGTAGATAAATATCATTATAATATTAATTTGTTATATACGATAGTGGAATAATCGTTCTAATAAATAATTATTTGCCATTTCAGAGAGACGATGGAGTCGATGTTAGCGGAGCAGCACTACCTGCGGTCGCCTCTTCGACCGTTCGATCTCGACCAGCATAACAATAATCTAACATTAGAGGAGAAAGCGATTTTGGCCGCGCGATCGCAACTGTTCTTACGGGCGGCGTACCCTCTGTACGGGGTGCCGGCGGCGGCGCTGTGGGGGCAGTGGGCATGCCTGGCGCCGCAGCTCCTGGCGCAGCAGCACCTGGCGGCGTCCGGGTCGGGGCTGCAGCTGCCGCGGCCGCTGTACCCGGGCGGGCTGCCGGCCCCGGCGCAGCACCGGTTCTCGCCGTACCCGCCGCAGCCGCCGCGGCGCGCCTCGCCCGGCTCCTCGCCGGACTCGCTGCGAGACGCCAGCCCGCACCCGCCGCCGCTCACCCCCCACACGCCCCACACGCCGCACCCGCCGCACAGTCCCACTTAACGTGCCACTCAATAAAAACCACCCCGAGCTCCCCGCACCCCACACAGTAATTCATTATTGTGTACTCTGTGAAATGCAAGATGCAAGTGTGTTTGCTTGACTTTAATTATGACCACTTTGTATTGTATAGTGAAGGATAAGCGGTCACCGCCGTCGGTCGGTGAAATCCTTCGGCGGCCGACGTCGGCCTCGCGTCGCCTGCGCTGTGGGACAATTAAATTGCCTCAAATTGGAATTGAAGTCTAGTCGTCATGGAGACGGCATTTGTAAAATATTGTATCATATATATTTAATTGTAACTCAAACTTGTAATTATATTGTTATTATATCTTTAATTATGTTCCTAAAAGTATTAACTCGTAGTGATGGTTTCAGGAAACTTCTTGTTATAGCATTAGTGTATTAGAATATAAATACATTGAATGGAAGGCATTTGGTAATTATGTTTGTTTCGTATGAACCTGTCACTTGATCCTTTCTCTAAGTTAGCTATCGGTCGCACCTGATTTCCGCTTTTTCAGGTAAAATGTGCAATAAAACAGAAAAGCTAAATTGTTTTAGAAAACTTATTCGTGTAGACATAGTTTGATTAGAAGTAGATTTAAGTAAATTGTAGGAATTATATTTGCTGTCTGTGTTTACTGTGAATTCCGTATTTTGGGTAACTACAATACAACGGACAATTAGTTCACCTACATAGTTACTTTGTAGTTAAATTATAGTTATTATAATAGATAATATATTGCTAAAGAATAAACAAATTAAATGTTTGTTAACATGTTTTTGTTTGATTTTATTGACTACTCTGACCTGTATATATAATATACTATATGACAATGTATTTCCAATAACATATCATGAATAAATAACATATCTAATTACCTAAAGAACCTGCATGTTTGTCGAAAATTAAATTACCAGAGTTAATTGTTATTGCAAAATACGAAATGTTCCAAATATATGTATAAAATATTTTACATACATATATGAACATACAAAACTTTTTTGGACAAAACAGTCTAACGAAATTTTTCTATTACTTGTAATAGAAAAATTTACACCACTTCATATGCTTACATACAGTACATTCTGGAGCTATTCTTCGTCTATAATCCATTACCAATTCCTTTTTTGTTTTTTATCCGATCTAGGCCAATTGCTATGGAATACTCTTTTAGGATAATTAGGTTATTGAAAATTATCCTCTCAGTTTTAGATCTTCAGATTCATTTTAATAAAAGAATATTTATTTTCCTTGACTAACGCTGAAACCGTTACCGTTTGTAGTCTTGAAAGATGCAAATCGGGACACAAAACAAAAAAAAAATTAAAGACACTGCAAAATTTCTTTAGCACATTGAAAATTTTATAAGTTTAATTATCTTATCTTAAATTGTTTAATCTTATTGATTTAAAAAACATCAGTAGGTTTTTTATTGACTGCACGGTGGTCTAGCGGTTTAGCCGTTTTACTTCCGGTGGTCGCTGGTTCGATTCCTCGCACGGTGCAAACATTTGTGTTCATGAGTATGATTGTTTTTATCGGTCTGGGTGTTTTCTGTATATATTAGGTATGTATTTACAAAATATTAAAGTAAGTATTTATATCAGTTGTCTAGTACCCAAAACACAAGCTCTGCTTACCGTGGGACTAGGTGGCGCTGTTAATTGTTAAATACCTACCAGGTCTGGATACTTATACCGACAAATATACCCAGATATATAGTTTAGTAAGAGAAGATAGCAAAATTTTACCGTTGTGATGAGTATAACAATAACATAACTACATTATTTCAAATGTGACTGTAATATTAAACAAGTTGACCACCTGATAGTAAGTAGTAACCGCCAGCTAAAGGTACCTATATGTACAAACAGTCCCACAGATATCACTATATCATATGACGGTCGTAATAACCGTCATGCATTGTCATTCAAAAGGACAAAGGTTCCATGCTTCCGTATCTTGTAATTTCACTGCCAAATCTCAACTTTCAACCTAAACATAGCTTATACAAAAAAAACTACTTAAAGCTACTACTGCTACGTAACATATTTGCTTGACAGGGTTAAACTCCAAACTGAGATGTACATACGTCTAACTTTCTAGCACTCCCGTGAATATACCTCTTTAGGCCTGGAGTTATATTATTACATCTCTTCTCCTTGAACTGACTCTATTATAGTCAGGGCCTGTTTACAAATAAACATTTTCCTATCTCATTTGTTTACTGAAACCAACTTCAAAGAAAATACAGTGCACTAAATACATACAATTTCAACACTACATAACAACGCCTAAATGAATGATTGAATGATTAGGTATAGTATTAGAGTGCAATAACTTTGCTATTAAATTTGAATAGTCACAGTTTGTATACAAACCGAATTACCTGAGGAGTGCATAATAATCAGCGTCCTATTTATCAATTTCTGCTAGGTTTATACCTAGCAGAAATTGATAATACTTTATAGTAACAATATGCTTCTTATTTTTGTTTTAAAAACAGCTCTGTTATGAGTTAAAGAGGTAATGAAAAGTAGTTCTACCATCGACGTTACCTTCACTTTCTGTCATACTGCATACAAGTCGTATAAAAATTAAGAGATTTCTTGGTGATTTAAACTGTCTACAAAAGTTTCATACCTCCATCAAAATCTTATACTGAAGTGCCAAAGTGTGGCTTTCTTTCTCTTCTCTATTTCTGTTAGATCTTTAATAAAATATATTTAATTTACCCTTTGTAATAATTTGAACATGAGTAAATATATGTATAATAATACTGAAATATAATGAAAAAGCCTACGATATGTTTTTCAATTTCACATGATAAGTTTAACTCGCATTTGTCCCTCAATGCCCCGTTAGATGTCGCTAGCAGTAGTGAAATATAGATACACCATTTCTATATTTGATGTGAAGATAGATGATAGAATTAAATTGATATAGGTATATAAATATAGTTATTTTTGATATCTGATTTTATTGTATTATTATAATTTTAAGTTCGATCTTCTTATATAGATAAGATATTTACCTGCAAATATATAAATAGATATAATTGTTACTTTTATAAATAAAAATGATGCTCAGTTATGTCCATAATCTTCATTAATTATTATCCTTTCTTTAAAAAACGAAAGCCACGGATGAAAAAGACCAAGCATTCAAAATATTTCCCATTCAATTATCAATAGTTTTAATGATTCAAAACACTATTACAGAGCGTGACAGATTGCGAAATTGTAGCAAATTAGAGCGACTCGCTCCGCAATTATGCAAAGCGGCTATAAAGTTATCTCTAGGAAAACAACGCCACCCCGCGCGAACTATTCAATTAAAATGAAACAATGGCGGCCGACATTCAAGTCACATAGAAGGGTCCGACACTCCGACTACATCGAATTAGTTCGGCGCGTGGCCACATTACTGGGACAAATTTCACGTCCCGAGGGTCCCCGCCTAGGGATGCAATGCTAATCTAATCTGGATTGTAGCTAATAAATGTTGTACCAGTGACGCGGGTGCACAAATTTATTGCTTGTAAAACTGTTTCCAATAACAGAAATTGTGGGTGACGCGTCACTTTCGATAAGCTTTGATTGAATTTAACGCGCTAGTGATTACTTCGTTACGATTTGATATGCAATTTATTAATGGATTCATCTAATATCAATCATTGTTAAGTTTACTGTAAAAAGTGTGACCGTAACTTGTCAAAAATAATATCACTTACCAACGTCTTACCTAAATTGGTATAAATGGGCCCAGATCAAAACCTGCTTAACAGTAGAAATCTACTGTTAAGCAGGTTTTAATCTGGGCCCCTATATATGTACCTAATTTCCAGAGCTAAAAGACATGGAGGCCCTTTTCCGTAATGTTGTATTATTTTAATATTTCAGTTACCACTTTTCCATATCAGCGTAACTGCTATTTTTAATAATAGAATACTTAGTGGATTGTGGTTTGGCTGTAATGTAGATAATAAAAATATGAAACATATTATTACTTTGGCCCCAAAACAATGGAATTAGACAAATTTAATTTAAATTTTTGATTTATTTTGAAATCTAAATATTGAAAATTATATAGGTATCATATGTTTAACAAACCTGTGCAAAATATAATAATCCATACCTGTAGGTACCTACAACACCCGTAGCGTTGCACAGTCAAAAACAAAGCGTTAGTCTGTGTGTGTGTTATCGACATGCCTCTTAGCTCTTAGTTGGTCGCCCGGGCGTATCGCACGTAATGCCGTGTTATTGGCCACTCTGCTCATAATCCCCTTTTAACTGCAGCCCCGAGCCGCGGACGTGCCCCGAATGTTTATGCCTCTTTTCTTCTGTTCGTGAACATTCGCACTCCTTAGTTCTGATGTCGGCGACATGAGATACACACTTATTGCCACTAATATACAAGAAGTAATACTTAGCAAAACATTTTGTACTCACTTTTGATTATTGTTAACGCTAACGAATTTAAGGGTGTATTTTATAAACAATTTAATAAGATAAATAGCCATCAGTCGATAAAAAAATGATATTTTTTTTATAAACAGTACGCTTAAAGTTCAGACTGTTTTCGAATAATTATTGTTGAAGTATTTTAAAAGAAAATTTAATACACATATATTACAAAGGAGCAGTGCATGTGGCTATAAATATTTTTATGTATGTGACGATTAAAGCCAATAGGACTCGAGTAAAATAATCTTTCAAAACATAAGGACGTAATTTTTTAGCATTTCAGATCACATAGCTCATTTTGGCAAATTACACAGGAATTTACTACGATAGTTACCAGAAAAGATTACGTGTAGGTCCACTAGGTTTATAAATTCTTCTTTCGAATTCAAATTGCATTTATGATTTTTGCATTATTGTAAAAATGATCAACAACTAGACCACCGAGGATGCTGCAGCCTCAGGGATAAATGTCAGCTATGTAGAAATAAACAAGTATGGTTACTGCAAAATTATTCAAAAAGTCGAATTATGGCACTAAAATTTATATAACAATAGTAGTATAGATATAGACGATGGCTAGATATACTTAGGTGTAAGTACATACGCAGGTATACTATAAAATTATTCAAGTATACAAAGGGGCGAGTTACATACGCAAGGGGAAGCAGCCGACGGTAATGTCGCCGTTCCGAGCACACACATCTCCGCATTTCAGTAAAACTGCAAATGTAACAGGGTAATAAATTCACGTTTATTATCACAAATATATATACCTGTTACCTTCGCTGTCGGTTCCGGAGCAAATCGGTGGTGTACCGTTTACGGCGAACTCGCCGAACGTGCAATATGAAATATTAACGTTTACATGCGCGTTACGTTGTAATACCACGTAATTACGCAGTATCATTATAGATATTAGGCAATTATTTATATGGGTACAGAACCCTTGTCGATAAGGTGGATATATCATCAAAATGGTGCGCTAATGGAATCTAATGTTTTTATTTATTGATATGTATTAAGATATTGACATATGTATTTCTACAAAATGTATATGTATCTAATACCTTTAGCAGAATTAACTCCATGCGAAGTTTTCTAGCAATCAACCGTGAGTGTTGTAGGGAGAAATGTTTATGAAATATTTATGCTATGTAAATAGGTTTCTATAGACAAACAACAGGCAGTCAAAGTGTCTGTTACGAACTTTTATATAATCGTAGTAAAAATACATAAAAGAATCAACCAACTTGCAGAATTCCCTGAA